CGCAGGCAGGCCTACGGGGCTTTGTGCCGCTCGCTCCCGGGTGTGCGCAAGGCGCAGAGCATCCAAATTGACACCATATGTTTTCCTATTAGATGCTTCGTGGTCGAATTCTAGGCGCATAATCATCGCTACTGGGCAAGAGCGCCCGCCGTCCCTAGGGAAGGGACACAATGATTGAGGCTTAACCTCTGAAGGGGAACTTAGCCGCGCTTCCTCGCTGCCATTTCGATGCTGGCAGAGGCGACCTGGCCCTGGTGTGTCCTGGGTGAGCACCAGCCCTAGGTCCCTGCGGAGGTGTCGGGACGTTGTTGTTGTTGTTGTTGTTGTTATTATTATTATTATTATTATTATTTTGCAATGGGGGGGGCGGGGAGGAGGAAGGTCTAGGATTAGGCGACCTCATGTGCCTTGGCATTCAGAGGTTGGGATTCGTCCTGGCTATGCGTGAAGTTTGGGAAGCCTTTCTTGGTCTCGCTAGGACAGCACTTCTCTTTCTGAGAAGGTTTCCTTTGTCCAAAGGGGAAGCCCTGTAGTTAGAGGGTAGCTGGGTCCTGCCAAGCAAAGGAAGAATACTTGGGAGAGACCGGAAGCGCAGACTAGGCCTGGCTCTGTTGGAAAAGTGATGTCCCCGAGACGTCTCCACTCATGCTGTGTCCAGACAGAGCCCAGATCCCCCAAACGCCTGTCACTTCTCATCGAGCTTAGGCTCCGGCCCCCCTCTCCGCCCCAAGCCTTTGCTACCCTGAACACGCGGCTCCCCTCGAAGGGGAAACGAGTGCAGTTCCATCTCATCTGAGTGATCTACAAATAGGGACGGAAAGGGTCGTTTTATCATGGTCCCGTTTGTCGTGACGATGCAATTTCCCGGAGCGGAGCACTGTCACAAAGTGACAAGGCTGCCACAAGCGCCCCGACTGATCTTTTCAATTAGCCTTCCATGCATGATCCGGAGCGACTTCCGCCTATTTCCAGAAATTAAGCTCAAACTTGACGTGCAGCTAGTTTTATTTTAAAGACAAATGTCAGAGAGGCTCATCATATTTTCCCCCCTCTTCTATATTTGGAGCTTATTTATTGCTAAGAAGCTCAGGCTCCTGGAGTCAATTTATCAGAGACTCCAAGGAGAAGAGAGAAGAGGAGAGGAGAGGAGAGGAGAGCTGAGCAGGGAGCCACATCTCCTGGAAGGGCTGCTCTCCAGAGTCGGGGCTGCAGGTTGGAGATTTGTACGGAAGTGGAAATTGTCCATTGGCTTTATTTGTGCGCCTGTGGATTCTAGGGAGGGGGCTACAGAGAAGTGCTAACTTCCTATCCCTGTTCTCTAAGATTAGACAATGGGTGAGGAGGCTGTGAGATAACAAGATAAAGGACAGATGTGGGGGGGGGGGGGCACTGTGGTGTGGTCTCTTCCTTTTCCTTTCGCTTTTTGATTTTTGCTAATATCTGTCCTTGGCTGTGGGAAGAGCTGAGAACAGCAGCGGAAGTAAATCGAGCTGTGGCCGCTGTGAGCAGACGCCCAGCTCTGGCTCCACTGCCGCAGCCGGACTACTTTGTGGTTGGAGCAGATCTGGCGCTCTGACCCTCATGCCTGCGGTAGAGGCGCTGAAACCCAGGTTAGGTTCACTAGCCACAGATCTGCTGTTCTGGTTCTTCTCTTCTCCTTCCCCTTCTCTTCTCCCATCTACGTAGTATTTTTTAACCCGGGTGTTTGTGCGGTGCCTTCGCCAGAGTTTGGAGTGTGACAGCAAACATTTCTGGACTCAAGCCTCCGTGGAAGCGCTGTAAGGCTGTGGGATTTGCTCTTACAGTTCCAACAATGCGGAGAGCTTGGAGGTTCCGTGTGGGTTCTGTGGAACCACCGTTTGCCACAACTCAGAAGGGATCTTTGGGAAGATATTTTTAGAGCTGATTGTTTGCATCTCGTGGGTTCAGAGGTTGGTTGGGGTGTTTATGAAGAGGGACATGGTCTGGGGACACTGCTGGGGTGGTGCCAGAGTGAGGTGAGTGTGTTCTTGCTCCTTGGCAGGTGTCTGCCTGTCTGGTGCTTCTGCAGTCCGGTGGCCAAGAGTACGGCTGTGTTTGGGGCTGGGCTGCCCGATGCCCTGCATGGCTGCATGGTCCTGTTGTCATTTTTGATCGACTGCAGGGGCCTGATCACCAAGGTTGGCAGGAGTTGGCAGGGAGCTGAGGATGCATTTGGTTGTTTTCTCCTCCTCCTCTTCCTCTTTCCTCTTCCTCCTCTCTTCTCTCCTTTCTCCTCTCTTCTCCTCTGCTCTCCCCTCTTTTCCTCTCTTCTCCTCTGCCTTTCCTTAGGTCACAGCGGAGTGAATCAGCTCGGTGGTGTCTTTGTCAACGGGCGGCCACTGCCAGACTCCACCCGGCAGAAGATTCCCCTCTCCTTCCACCATCCTTCCCCATCTCTTTCAACCTGGGTCAGTCACATAACTCATCTAAAAAGAAAAAAAAAAAGAGTGTGTGAATTAAAAGAAAAAAACCTTTCTCTTTTCACTTGGTAAAAAACATTTATGTTTTTAAATGTACTATAGTTTATGTACTAGAATAAGCTGAGTTTTACAAAACCGGCATCATTTCATTTCCTTCTCTCATCCCATGCTTACCTCAGATTTTGAGATATTGGTTTGCATATGATAAACTAAGGAAGAATATCTATACATATTTATTTTAAAAGACAGGTGCTATTTACCTCCCTCCATAACTCACATGTACTCAATTGGGTATATTTTTAAAGGAAAAATAAGTTTAAATTCAGTTTACTTTCCCCCTTTGCTCATTAAAACAACACCACTTTAAACAAGGTCAGCACACACACACACAAATCTGACTTCGTTTTGATGCATCTTCTGGCAGTGTTTAAGAAAACAGTTTTTTAAAAATTTAAATTAGTTTTTTTTAGTTCAAACTGTTTAAAAGTATCATCATATTTGTAGTTTTCAGGGCTACAAATGTAATTTTAAGAAAAAAAGCTCTCTACAGTAAGTTCTCGTACCATTGAAGGTATATTTTTGTGTTATAGACCCATGCAGATGCAAAAGTCCAAGTGCTGGACAATCAAAACGTAAGCTTGTCATTGTTTAATGCATACTTAAACAATTTTATTTTTGTCTTGAAATTATTAATAATGTGGTTTTCTGTCCACTTCCCCTATGCAGGTGTCCAACGGATGTGTGAGTAAAATTCTGGGCAGGTATTACGAGACTGGCTCCATCAGACCCAGGGCAATCGGTGGTAGTAAACCAAGAGTAGCGACTCCAGAAGTTGTAAGCAAAATAGCCCAGTATAAGCGGGAGTGTCCGTCCGGGCTGCCCGATGCCCTGCATGGTCCTGTTGTCATTTTTGATCGACTGCAGGGGCCTGATCACCAAGGTTGGCAGGAGTTGGCAGGGAGCTGAGGATGCATTTGGTTGTTTTCTCCTCCTCCTCTTCCTCTTTCCTCTTCCTCCTCTCTTCTCTCCTTTCTCCTCTCTTCTCCTCTGCTCTCCCCTCTTTTCCTCTCTTCTCCTCTGCCTTTCCTTAGGTCACAGCGGAGTGAATCAGCTCGGTGGTGTCTTTGTCAACGGGCGGCCACTGCCAGACTCCACCCGGCAGAAGATCGTAGAGCTAGCGCACAGCGGGGCCCGGCCGTGCGACATTTCCCGAATTCTGCAGGTGATCCTCCTGGCGTGCCCCACCCGCCGCCCCTGCGGCCCTCCACTTGCAAGGCCCTCTCTTCACTTCTTACTGTAAACGTTTCTCTTTTCACTTGGTAAAAAACATTTATGTTTTTAAATGTACTATAGTTTATGTACTAGAATAAGCTGAGTTTTACAAAACCGGCATCATTTCATTTCCTTCTCTCATCCCATGCTTACCTCAGATTTTGAGATATTGGTTTGCATATGATAAACTAAGGAAGAATATCTATACATATTTATTTTAAAAGACAGGTGCTATTTACCTCCCTCCATAACTCACATGTACTCAATTGGGTATATTTTTAAAGGAAAAATAAGTTTAAATTCAGTTTACTTTCCCCCTTTGCTCATTAAAACAACACCACTTTAAACAAGGTCAGCACACACACACACAAATCTGACTTCGTTTTGATGCATCTTCTGGCAGTGTTTAAGAAAACAGTTTTTTAAAAATTTAAATTAGTTTTTTTTAGTTCAAACTGTTTAAAAGTATCATCATATTTGTAGTTTTCAGGGCTACAAATGTAATTTTAAGAAAAAAAGCTCTCTACAGTAAGTTCTCGTACCATTGAAGGTATATTTTTGTGTTATAGACCCATGCAGATGCAAAAGTCCAAGTGCTGGACAATCAAAACGTAAGCTTGTCATTGTTTAATGCATACTTAAACAATTTTATTTTTGTCTTGAAATTATTAATAATGTGGTTTTCTGTCCACTTCCCCTATGCAGGTGTCCAACGGATGTGTGAGTAAAATTCTGGGCAGGTATTACGAGACTGGCTCCATCAGACCCAGGGCAATCGGTGGTAGTAAACCAAGAGTAGCGACTCCAGAAGTTGTAAGCAAAATAGCCCAGTATAAGCGGGAGTGTCCGTCCATCTTTGCTTGGGAAATCCGAGACAGATTACTGTCGGAGGGGGTCTGTACCAACGATAATATACCAAGTGTAAGTTCACTGAGAACACCCCCCTCCCTGCCCTAAGCTCCATTCTCTTTCCTCTTTACCGTATCTTTCTTCACCTCCTTCTGCTCTCCTCCCCACCAGTGTCTGTCTCTTATCTCCTCTCTGCTCTACCTCCCTGCTCTCTGTACCTGGGGCTGTTGAGAGGAGCAGCCCGACCTTTTCTTGACTTTCTTGGAAAATGGGAGTCAAGTGTGGGAAGTTGGTCATCTCATTTGCATGCTGCATAGTAGAGGGAGGAGGCACTTGAATCAAGAAGGAAAATGAAAATGAAAACCAGATTCTAACTTCCTCCCAATCCGCCTGCCTGAACATTCCTTCAGGCGTCAAACATCCATTTCTGCACTAATATAAACCTAAGTGCAACAAAGCTCTAAATAAGTCTAAAAATTTTTGGAAATCTTTAACAAAGTAAGGCAGCCATGTGATAGGTCACCAGAGACCCCCTCATCCACCAGTTCTGACCCAACTTAGTTTCCATGCCCAAAGTGATGGCTGTCATTCTGTCCATCATGTCCCTGCAAATCAACCTACACTGTCCCATGATGGTTGGGAGTTGTTGTTGTTTTTAATGTGTTAAGGGTTGCTCTTTAAGGGGGTGGGTGTGTTGAGATGGGGATTTAAGACAGAGCGGCCTTGTTTTTAGGAGACACTGCCATTTGGTTTGATTTTGGTTTGATTTGCAGGTGTCATCAATAAACAGAGTTCTTCGCAACCTGGCTAGCGAAAAGCAACAGATGGGCGCAGACGGCATGTATGATAAACTAAGGATGTTGAATGGGCAGACCGGAAGCTGGGGCACCCGCCCCGGTTGGTATCCGGGGACTTCAGTGCCAGGGCAACCTACCCAAGGTAAAAACCCGAGCAACCACCTAAACTCTCTGTATATGCAGCCCATAGTCTTCTCCCCAACCTTTCCCTCTCCGGGCCTCTGTGCTTCGAGGATGCAGTGGGGTGACTCTTCAAAGGCTTGGGACACATTGGCTTGCACTGTATGTAGGTGGTGCTTATTGAACTCTCTGGTTGGCCTGGGAATGGAAGGGCTATGTCAGCAGTAGTATGCATGTGGCTGGTGTGTGTACATGTGTGTTATGGGTAGGAGTAATAGCATTGAGGCGCCCGCTCTTGTGCGTGTGTGTAAGAGCTTCGTGGTACCTTATTCAAATTTGCCATTCAAATGCATAGAAAGTCCCTTTGCTGTAGAAGTGAGACAGGTTAACACTGCCAGACTGTGAGGTAAACATAATTGTATCGTTTTGCTTTCTGCCATAATTGACAAATTATGTGACTATGAGTAGGGTTCAAATGAGAGAGGGTGAGCAGAGAGATGCATGGTCGAGTGGAGAATGGGGCACTGGAAGTGGTAGTCTCCCAACTAAAACACCCCCACACTCTCTCCAACCTTCTGGGCCCCCAGTTCTCACTCTCTGTGGGTGGCTGGCGACTGCTTAGAAGGGTGGAGTGACAATAGTGTGAGCCAGACTTGGGGTGCCGGGGTCTGGAAGAAGAGATGGGATCTGGATCATTCCAGGATGTGTGAGAAGGGATGAAGGAAGAGGAGCAGATAGGGATGGGGGGAGGCCCGTTGGCTCTCTCCTTCCCTCCACACACAGAGGTAGCTTGGTCAAGAATAGGAAACAGTTTACTGGGAAGATTAATCGGTATTTGTTGTCCTGGTGACAAGGAGATAATATGCGAGATAATGGGACGTGGCGTCTCACTCCCCGGAGCACGACGAAGCCTGGGGGCTTCTGGGCGCAGGAAGCTGACGGGACTGCCCGCGCGACCGTGCGCTCTAAAGACGGCTCTGGGTGCCCCGCGCCTCCACGGAGCCGGACTAGAGAAGGGGAAATCGGTAACAGTATGCGAAATAACTGGTACAAAGGATGCTTCTGTCACTCCCAAGAATTTGTTATGGGAACAATCCTGTCGCTCTGTAATTGCTCATTAGAGAACGTTTTGTTTCTCATTAAGGCGACATGAATAAGCGTCTAGTTGAAGGAGACAGCTGTAGAAATGTTCCACAAGAGACCTCTGGACACGATTCGGCACCAATTGCCAATTAGACATGTCAGTTTTAAGAGCAGGAAACAATATAGGACGGACACTGGGAAGATAGGGAGCAAAGCGCTCGCTCCGGGTTCCCAGCGCGGCGCGGCCGGCCGAAGCTTCCCGATGCGCTGAGCTGAGCGACCCGCCCGCGGGATCCCCCCGGAGCTCAGCAGGCACACCTGAGGATTTGCCTCCCACCGGGCTGCAGGCCCAGGCCCACCCTGGCCTCTGCTGAGGACGAGGGACTGACATGGTTAAGTGGGAACCACCACACCCTCACTTGACCTTTGGAACTAGGAATCCCACGTGCGCACAGTGGACACATTCAAGTGAAAGCGCACTTCACACTCCACAGCGCCTGCCCGCCAGCTTCCCGGCAATCCCAGGCCTCTAGCCGCCTGGGTCCCAGAAGCCTTGGGGAGGGTGCAGGGTGCAGTGGCTGAGCCTGGGAAAGCTGATCCCCAAGGCTCCGCGCTGGCCCCTCGGCTCCAGGGCTCCCGTAGCTTGGGGCCTACAGCAGGGATACCCCCACCTGCTTCCTGGAGCCCAGACAGGAGCCGAGGGCTGCAGCTTTGCTAGCCCCACCGCTTCCCTTAGAGGCGGCACTGCATACGGCAGCTTTTTGTCTCGGGGAGCGCGAGGGCGGGAAGCGATTGCCTAACCACAGGGCCCTGGCGGTGGTGATTGGGGCGGGAGGTGGCGCTCCTTCAGGCACTTTGAACTTTGAGTAGTGAGTGGCTAGAGAATTCGGCGAACCATTGCCAGTCCCCCTTCTGCTCCCGCACAAAATCCATTTCCGTGCCCCGGATCCGGGCGCGGACCGCAGCTCCGGCTGCACTGGGAGCACGCAGCTCGCACCCCGAGCGTGGGAGTCCCGTGCGTGGGGGCCGCGGGGCGCTGGCGGAGAGCTTGGGCCGACGCCTGGGGGATCTTCAGACTTTTTGGCATTAACAAGCATGCCCTCTCGCACTGGCCCCCTTCCCTGGGCCAGGAAACCGTTTGGGGGCTTTTAAAGAGCCCTTTACTCCGAAAGCATAAGGCGAGGTTAAGTCTCAGAGGGAGACAAATATGGTTTCCATCTGATCAACGCCACGCGGCAGTGGATAAAATCGTGACGACGTGGGCTGACAAGAGACAACTCTATCCGGCCCCAATTCTCCAGCGATTTGGGTTTTAGGGATCCCCGAGACACTTTTTCTTATCTCTCTCTCCCCCCCCCCCCCCATACCCAGGCCCTCTATAGGATTTAGTCAGTCTCTTTTTCAACAGATGCTACAATGTTTTGATCCGGGTTCCCGAGCTGAAAAGGTGCCGCAACCGGGTTGCTATCTTTTCTTGCTTGTTTTCCGCCTCACTGATTAAGACACTAAGAAACTAAGGAATGATTTTATTTCCCAGCGTCCTTCCCCCCACCTCTCCTCCCCTTCCAGAAAACAAATCCTATCCCCCGCGTCAGATGGTCCCGGGGCTGGGATAATGGGAGGCGCTTTCACTGGCCTTCTCACGGATTAGGCTGGAAGGTGGACGGCGCCCAGCCCATTGAAGGCGCCTTCCCTGCGCTCGGAGGGGGCGCCTTTTAAAGAAGATATCTTAATTGTTTGCCACTTAGGTTTATCATATGGGGAATTTGAGACCCAACTTCTAGTTTTATTTTGTGAAAAGCTTTAAGAGAGGAAGGTAAATCCACTAAAGAAAAATAAAGGGGGGGGGGAGAGCAATCTAAGAGTGACCGCTCTGGCACCGCCTGACTAGAACAGTTGCTATTATGAAAGTAATAATAATAATAAAAAATGCTTCCAGGGGTGCAGGCTCGCTCCGCTCTGAGGAGTCACGGAGGGATGCCACAGCCACGGGTTTCTCCTGACCCGCTTCTAATTCCACTCTCCCCCAAAGAAGTTTAAAATCCAGCTCTCCTCATCTCCGTTGACTTTCCTCTCCTTAAATGTCAGTTCTCAAGTCAGTTCTGTGCCTGCGTTTGTGCGAGATTGTGTGAGTGTGTGGGGAGGTGGAGGGGGAGAGGGAAGGAGAAGGAAAGCATGGGCAAATGTCCATGTTTTAAAATTAGGAAGATGTCAGAGAAGCAAAGGAGAGCAGAGAATGCTATCTGTGAGGGTCTTCTGAGAGGGACCAGGCAGCCTTGTTTAATTGGCAAGATCGAATGTGCCAGAAAAAGGACTGGGATGGGGCCTCCTGGAAGGCATGACTGATCACCCCTGCGAGATGGGATTGTGGTCTCCTCAGGGCCCTGTCCCTAAACGTCGGATGATCAGTTTTTGTTTGTGTTTTCCTAAAGCAATACCTTAGGAGCCTGTCTAGTTGGCCCAAAAGGACTCTTGCTAAAGTCCTCCTCATTCACTGAACCCCCAAGTAAGGGCAGCTCTTCATTTCTTTCCCTGAAAAAACAAAACAAAACCCACTTTGCTAAGTCCCTCAGAAACCTGGGGCAGTAAATTAGCGAAGACGTGCTGGCGTGGGCGAGTCTCCCCCTGTGCTAAGTAGCCCTCCTCACTCCCGCCTTCCTGAGACAGCACAAGACCACCCCAAGTAGTGCCTCGGCCTATTGACTAATATTGTCTTCCCCCCTTATCTTCCTTTTCCTCTTTCTCTCCTCTTCTTCTTCCACCTTCTTATCTTTTTCCTCTGAGCACTCTTTTCTGTCTTTCTTACACCTTTCTTCCTCCATCTCCCTCCCCTCTTCCCTCTCCCCCACCAATCCAGCCCCATCTTCCCTCCCTGCTCCCACCCCTATTCCCCAACCCTGGTCTCTATCATCCCTGACTGTCGGCTTCCCCCCCCCCACGCCCACTGGTCTCCATCCACCCTCCCTGCCTCCCCCACCCC